CTTCGTATATTTCTAACAACAGATTTTTTTGAAATTTTGGTTATTGAAAATTTGGTACAAGGGATCGTCGGAAAGAGATGAGTACCAAGAGTGAGTTATTTCTAAACCCTTTATTAAAAGAATTTATTAATTATTTTTTTGAAAACTAAAATGGAAGAAAAAGAAGTTTATTTATTTACAAGTTTAACCATGAATTTATGACTACCCATAACCAAAGAAGAAAATTAGATGGAAACTTAAAAATGCTTAAGAATAGAAAAAAAAATCAGGCCTTTCTTGAAGAATATTAAAATATAAGTCATTAATTTACTGGTATAGTTATAGTTATGTAAAAAAGCAAATGATGTGGGTATTGCTTATGCTTAGTTGTATTATTGTTATGCATATTTGACTAATAAGTAGAAAAATAAGTTGAAAAGAGAAGATATAACAAATTTTATTATTTACCTATTCATTCTGTTGATATCATTTTAATAAAGAGATTATTTTTTATTTGGCATTCATTCCAAAACTAAAAATTTTTAAAACTTTGAGCAAAGATATCTCGACAACCACTTTTTCTAAAGAAAAAAACAAAACTATTCAATATTAGCAGCTAAAAATAACCCCAGATAAATAAAGCACTCAAATATGTTTTATAACATATTGCTATTAATATTTCAAAGTTTTAAATTTATTTAATATAAAATTTACATATGGTTTACTCTTAATATAGAATTTTGACATGGCATAAAAATTGCGATAAAAAAAAACACAATAAAATTAATCTTAAAAACAAATTAAAAAAACCAACATGATAAAAATAATAAAAACAAATAGTTTAATGTCTAAAGATTTCTTAGTTTTAATATAAGTTTATTGAAAAGAATATGGAGATTTATTTTTTTTTTTTACTTAAGCAAAAAATTTTTTTTAATTTTTTTTGCATATTTAATATTATCATTAAAATCAAGATAGTAAAAGCAACTTTAGTAGGTACGACATGGTATATCGATATATATCAAAGTAATAGTTAAGCAAAAGGAATTTATGTACAAAATTAGAATACAAGAAATTTTTTTGGATATATTTTTGGATATATTTTCTGAATATATAGTACATTAATATCTGGTAGCAATTGATGTACACAACAAATTGATGTACACAATTTGGTATGTGATGTTACCTGCACAAATCATGTATAATTATAAGGTGTTAATGAAAAAAATTCCAATTAAATCTATCTTCTGTAATATCATACAAACCAAATTTTTGAATTGTTATATATATAAATAACTTTTGGTTTCAGCTCTTTTCTTTAAGCTCTTTTTTTCAAGCTGTTTTTTTCAGATCACTTTTTTCAAGTCCTTCATCTTTTACAGATCATTTTATTTTTTCTTAGAATTCATTTTTTTAGATTGCTTCATTTTTAGAACACTTTTCTTTAGTTTGCTTTAGTTTCTTATTTCTTTATATTTTTTTTTATAGGTCATATCTTTTTTCAATTTGTTTTTGTATGCTTTTTTTTAGATTGCTTTTTTTGTATCCTTTTTGATATCACTTCATTTATTTTTTAGAGTGCCCTATTTTTTTACATCACTTGATTTTATTTTTATGAAAAATCTTTTATTTTCATATTGCTTTTGGTTTGTTTTCAGATTACCATTACAAATTCATTATGGAAGTTAATGTTCAAAAAGGATATACTTTCAATATGTTTGATAAAGTTCGTATAGCTATCGAAAGATATGCTACAGAAACTAGCACAAATTTGATTTTGGGAAAAATGACAAAATATCCAAATGGCAGTAGTTATAGGCAAGCATACTTTTTCTGCGAAAAACAGGAAAGATATAGTGGAAAAAAACAACAATATGTACTGGTTGTCCTTTTGTTGTTGGTGTGAATCATCATAAATATAGCAATAAATTTGTAATAACAAAATCTAATCTAAAACTTAATCACAACATTTGTTTAGAAACTACTAAATTTAGTATAGTTGTGTGCAAATTTGATCAAAATGATCTTGGTTTTACTAAGAAGCTTCATAATAATAAGCTCTGTGGTCAGCCTCCTAACAACAAACATATTCGTGAAAATGAAAAAAATGAAGAAAATATTATGCAAAAATTAGACAAAAATAATAAAATATCATATTTGCCTGATACAAATGATACAAATGTTGATCTATGTGTTTATGATCCAAAAAGTGACAGTAATTGTGGGTTTTGATCATTAGTCATAGCAATTTTTGGGGATGAAGAATGTTGGCAAAAAATTAAAACTGATATGAAGTTCTATTTGAATGAGCAAAATGATCTTTATAGCAAAAAATTAGAATATGATGTCAGTCAACTAGATAAAGTTTTATCTTATACTTCAGAGAATGCTTCTAAAAAATACTGGTTTTATTCATCAGAATGTGCACAGCTAGCATCAGATATATTCAATGCACCAGTCATTGTATTGGCTGCTGAAAGCTATTTCTTCATGCCATTTAATCAAGAATCTGGTTTTTGCAAAATACCTATCATTCTTCAATGGCATAGTAATTATATTAAGTTAATTGAATATAAACAAAACTAGTGTACACAACATTACTATCTAAATCCTCAATGCAAATCTTTATATAAAAATTTTATATCACAGTTAGGGTTTAAAATTAGACCTACCCAAAACAGATCCTGTCAGAACCCTGTCATAGTCGATTAACTATGTTTTCTATAACTAGCAGAGCATATATATGTCATGCCTCAGACTAACGCTTGCCTCAGATGTCAATTGGCCTAAGTTAGAATAGGGTAAGGGTAAGAATCTGGGAAAGATTTGGGCTTAATTTAGGTCAATCAATGTCAATCAGTTAATGCGGGCCAAAAAGTCGATATCTGATGCAAGCATTAATCTGAGGCACAACATATACATGGTTTTGCCAAGTTTTAATACAAAATTTGGATTTGTTAATTCATTCAAGAACTTAACTTAGAGACTTTTTGCCGCAATCAAAATTTTATATTGAATATTTTTATCTAAAGATTAGAATCTTCTAATTTTTATTGAAAATTTAAGAGAAATAAGAGATAATTTAATATTTATTTATTTATTAAAGTATTCAAAAAATTTATTTAATTGCTATTGTAAATATTGAATCTGATTACAGTGCTAGACAAAGGTTTTTCTGCACTGATATCTCCTAATTGTTTACTAAGTTTTTAGAAAGTTTCAAGGCTGTAGAACCTCTCTGTGAGAAGCTATAGGGTGGAAAAACTTTTGTCTAGTACTGACATATAAATTAAAATATTTTATATATTTATATTCAAATTCAAATATTTGTATTTGAATTCGACTTTATAAATATAAAACATAATTTGAATTCAATATCTAGTTCAAAATATTCAATATCAATATAATTTACTATTTGTAAATAATTCAAATTATTCCTCACTGTTGTGCATACTGTGGTTTATGAGTTCACTAAATCAATTATCTTAAAGTAAGTGTGACTCTGAAAAGAACTCATTTCATATGTATGAATTCAATTCTATATTTACACAAAAACTCTAAATTTTGAGTAGTAAGAAGTACAGTCAGATCTCGATATAATCACCAGGTTGGAAAACAAAATTTTGGTGATTATAAAAAGTTGTGACTATATAAAG